GGTTGCAAAAGGTCCAGACACGGATCGCGTCTGTGCACTGGGAATGGGAGCACACTCCTCCCTGCTTGTTTATGTAGTAAACGGCAGTAATGTTGTCCGTGGGCACTCTTGCAACCTGATTGCGAAGGAGGGGAAGGAAATGTTTGCAAGCATTTGCGACGGCCCGCAACTCCAACAGATTCATGTGGAGGAGAAACTCCTCGGGAGACCACCGGCCCTGAATTTGGATGTCTTGCATGTGTGCTCCCCATCCCAGTAATGAAGCGTCTGTTGTGAGCTGAAGCTTGCATTGTGGTTTGTGAAAGGGGATACCAGCCAGCAGGTTGCCTGTAATGGTCCACCAATAAGAGATCGCTTGACCATGATGGGAACCACTACCGTCCTGTGCACATCGTGCCTGCCTGGTGAGTATATTCTGGACACTCAATGCTGGAGGCAGCGGAGGTGGAGCTGCGCGTTGGCTACGATGTATGTCATGGAAGCCATGTGCCCTAAAAGTTGTAGACACGTGAGGACAGGTACTGTAGGGCTCGTGTTTATCACCTGAACCAGATCTTGAATGGCATGGAATCTGGCAGAAGGTAAATAGGCTCGAGCTGTTGTGGAGTCGAGATGGGCTCCTATGAACTGTATAGACTGTCGAGGAGTTAGTGAAGATTTGGGACTATGAGACCCAGTGTATGGAACACGAGCCTCATCGTGGCAACCGCCCACTCAGCTTCCTGGAACGAGCGTGCTCTGATGAGGCAATCGTCTAGGTAGGGAAGGATGATAATTCCTAACTGACAAAGAAAGGCTGCCACTACGGCAAGCATTTTGGAGAAGACCCTTGGGGCTGAGAATAGGCCGAACGGAAGGACCCTGTACTGGTAGTGGGCTGTGCCCACCAGGAAGTAGAGGAAACGCCTGTGTGCAGGATGGATGGGGTTGTGAAAATAGGCATCCTGCAGATCAAGGGACGTGAACCAATCGTTCTGTTGTAGGGATGGGATGATTGTTGCTAATGTCACTATCTTGCAGCGCTGTTTGCGTACATATCGATTCAGTTGCCGAAGATAGAGTATGGGCTTCCACCCTCCTGACTTTTTCTCCGTAAGAAAATAGTGGGAGTAAGAGCCCCTGCTGTGGAAGGCTTCTGGGACCCTCTCTATCGCTCCAATACTGAAAAGGTGGTCTACCTCATGAGCGAGAAGAGACTCGTGAGATGGGTCCCTGAAGAGGGAAGGGGAGGGAAGAGTAGTGGGGGGAGAGGGATAGGAATGGAATCACGTAGCCAGATGTTATTAGCTGCATGACCCATCAGTCCGATGTTATTGTGGCCCAATGGTGTTGGTAGGGCTTCAAATGATGTTGAAAGAGCACTTTGGTAACACTGTGAGTAGGTAGCAACTGGATGGTTTGCAGTCCCTCGACGCTCCCATCAAATCTGCTGTTTGCCTGCCTGTTGGTGAGCTGGTCTGAGCTGTTGTGGGCGACGCCTCTGGGGGAGTTGGCGACCTCTTTGGGCTTCATATTGTCTCCTCTGGGGTGGTGCATAGGGGAGCGGTCTCTGCCTCTGGTATGGTGTGTAGCGCCTCTGTCTAAAAGGCAGAGTGTACATACCCAGAGTCCTTAGTGTGGTGCGCATGTCTTTGCCAGAGTGAAGCACCTGGTCTGTTTTGTCCCCGAACAAATTCTGTCTGTCGAATGGCAAATCCTCGATTTTAGACTGGATTTCCTTTGAGGCTGCCGCCATGTGGAGCCATGATGCCCTGCTCATCACAATGGATGTGGCCTTGGTGCGGGCTGCTGTATCAACGGAGTCCAGCGCAATATGGAGAGCAGAACGGGAGGACGTCAAACCTTCTTGTATCACCGCTTTCAATATCTGGCGTTTAGACTCTGGAAGGTGCTCGAGGAGGGGGACAAGTTTGGCGATATTATCGAAGGTGTAATTTGCGAGCAAGGCTGAATAGTTCACCATACGGAATGATAATGTGGCGGACAAGTACATTTTTCTGCCAAAGAGGTCCAGCCTCTTAATGTCTTTATCCTCTGGAGTAGTCTTATGATGGGGTGCTTTGGACCTCTGTTGGGCAGCATCGACCACCAAAGAGTTAGGAAGCAGGTGGTTAAATAAGAACTCCATGCCGGTGGCCGGACCAAAAAACTTTTTGTCCGCAGGTGGGATGGAGGCCGGTGTTTGCCAAATGCCATCAGCTATTTCCAGGATAGCAGCATCCAATGGGAGGGCAACTTTTGAGCAGTGAGAAGGATGAAGATTCCTCAATAAATGGTGTTGTTTTTGTTGCACCTCCCCCACTTAGACGTTCTGGCTATCAGCAACCCTCTTGAAGAGTTCCTGAAAGTCCTTGATGTTGTCCGTAGGTGAAGAGTCCCCATGAAACACCGCATCATCAGGGGACGATGATGCTACCTCTGTGGGGGACTGGTGGTGAGAGTCCTCCGTGTCAGAGGGATGGCCGTCATCGACATCAACGGTCTCCACTGTAGTAGGCTGAACCACCGAAGGAGTAGGTGGCCTGTCTGACCATGGGGAGACGGATGAACTCCTAGGTGGCGGGGGTAGTGGAGAAGATCATGACGGAGATCTAGCTGTAGAATGAGGAGGTGAACGCAGAGATCGGTTCCTGGAAGTATAATATCGGCACCACCTGTCATCGTGGTAAGGTGAATAATGACGGTGAAATGAGTAACGATGTTCGTAGTAAGAGGTTCTATGGTATGTTGGAGACCTTGGAGACCTGGAGCGCCATCTAGAGTAGGATGGAGATGGAGAGTAATATCAATAATAGTGATGTCAATGGTGCGGTGAGGCAGTGTCAGTTTGGTATACTGCGGGAGAAGGAAGGCGGGATACACGAGGCAAGCATATGGGTGGTGAAGGAGGCTCGGGAGAGAAAGCCTCTGGCCCAGGGCTTGGAGACAGAGAAGATAATCTGAGAGTTCTCTCCTTTAATCTACCGCAGGCCTGGATAGGTGATGCAGATGAGACCGACCTCGTAGATGATGGGAGGGCGTGGAAGACTGTGCTTCGTGCACGTCGGCGCCAGCTTAGCAGAAGTGGAGGCAGAGGGTGCCTTCGAGAGAGGTGGTGCTCGTACTGCGGTGGTCGGTACCGGAGGCGGAGCCGTAGTTTTTGGTGCCGATGAGTCAGTGTGCTCTGCAACCAACGGTGCCGAGGCTACAGGGGGTGCCGTAGCGCTCGGTGCAGCGGCCACCGGTGTCGATGGTGGAATTGGTGCCGTAGCTCCCGGTGCTGAGGGAGTCGGTGCCGAGACTGCCGGCGTGGATACCGGTGTTCGGAGTGGCCACAAAGGAGACGGCATCGACGGTGCCGGAGCTGATTTGGGTAGGTGTGCCGAGCGGTCCAACGCACTAGTCGTGAACGCGCTACGAGGCAGTTTGTGCTTCTCCGTCTTGTGGGAGACCGTAAGCCCCGAGGTCCCAGGCTGGTCTGTCATGCTCACTCTTGGTGGCAGAGAACGGGACGGTGATGGAAGCTTTTTCTTGTACGCCGCTTTGGTTGGTATGAGGTGGGGTGGATCCATGGGAGGCTCCAACTGCAGCCAAAGGGCTTTGTCAAACAATAACATCTTGAGACACATTTCGCGATCTCTTCGAGCCCTGGCCATCAGTTTTGAACAGTGAGGACACCTTTGTGGGATGTGCCCCTCACTGAGAAATTTTATACATGTGGGCTGTGTCTACACTGGGCCACTTATTCCGGAAAATCAGCCGCTTTTCCGGAATAAGCTGTGAGCTGTCTACACTGGCCCTTGAATTTCCGGAAAAGCAACGACGCTCTACTGTACAAAATCAGCTGCTATTCCAGAAAAGCTACGCTGCTCCTGCTCGGGCATAAGTCCTTATTCCGGAACA